TAAGAATAGGACTTGTTTTGTGTAGGGTGTTCGATATATATGTTTCTACATTGTTTAATTCGGATTGTCATATGTCCTATCGTGTCTCATTCAAACAATATAGAGATTTCTCTAATCGTAAATTGTGATCATTATGGTATGTTGTTCGAGTTTATATCTTTGATAATTCCGATGATGATGATGATATATTGTTATGTTGAAAAGGGTTGGCGTCCGACATTGAGCTCCCCATTCCTCCCGTGCGTCGTATTTCTTCCTTTAAACGTTCGGGCGCGTAACCTTTCTCTAGTGGTAGATTCGTACGGTAGAGTTTTCTCGTAGGAATGCTTATGAGCAATGTTTAAATTCAAGATTGTATTTGAACATTCAGAACAATATTTGATAAAATTGATTAATATGTAGTGTTTTTTATGTGCAGTTTGATGAACATTACCTGACTGGATATGCCCGATTCTGATCGCCAATTCAAATGTTTGTACGCAGTGTAGTGAAGCTAGTCTTGTTGTGCCTTTTGTGAGCATGCTAGGAAGAGGGTAGGAGATAATCAGCATATCTCTCTAGTAGCAAAGGTATCAGTTGCACTTTGGACATTGGAAGTGTTAGAACTGGGAAGACATTTTGAGATTAATAATTTGAAAATAGTGTGAGTAAGACTGATGACTAAATCACAGATGTTTATGATTTCTATATATAGCTATTTCTTCTTGAAAGATGCCTCTGACTATAAAAAATTACCTTTAATAGTAAAACTGCACATCTTCAAAGGCAAAGAACGATTTGGTAGAAAAAGAAATAGGACGATTTATGAGCTAATATGCCCATTCGAAAAAAAAACTAAATCGTGAATTGATAGTAATAATAATAACTGATAAGTTTGTACTCCGAATGTTCTGACATCAATCTGAGTTTATCTTTTACCAGTAAACTGTAGTATAGGTTCACAGGACGAATCAAATCCTCGATGAATGTCCTACGAGCGCTATTATGGATGGATTCATGCTAAATAGTTTGTCATAACCGAATGCCACATTGCGTGCTAGGTCATGCCCGGATGTCCGCAGTCACGCATCGTAGCCCCATGAGGTATTTATCATGTTCTCAACATCATTTTATGTGAATGTGCGTGTTGACAAAATGTTCTAACAGAGTTCGAGCCGTCGCTAAAATAACAGAACTGGTCGTTCATCACGCGCTGATTGTGGCGATTTTCAGCTGATCAGTTATCATTTCCGGAGCAAAACTTGCCCCATATTCGTTAGAGTGATGTGGATTATTGACAGGTGTTCATCGACGTTGTTCAGGGTCAAACGAAGACATTGTATCAATAATGTCAACAATTTCGTTTATGACATTGTCAAATGTCAAATATTTTGACTTGTCCTTATTCACAAAATTTCGGACAGTTTGAGTTATGCGCGCAAAAATTCGATGATTATACCTAAGATTTGGTTTATTTGAGTTTCTTTGCGGTCCAGAGATCTGAAGCGACATGACTCGGCAGGTGACTGGACATATATTCCAATTTCTGCAAAACAATCTCTGGACTTTAATTATTAAAAGCCAAATAATGTAGCTGCATTTTCCTTTCAAAAATAACGCACTGATACAAACTTTTTCTGAGTTTCAATCTTCGAGATTGGTTAACTGAAATCACCTGAATTATGCATTAGGAGCTCTTTCAGGCTAATCTACAAATTAGACGAAGTCATATAAGATGCTAACAGGAAACGAATTAGCTCAATCCATTACCAACCATTTCCTGTTTCTTCTCGTTTGAAGAAATAGGAGTCAAAATGATGAAAGACTTTGAGCGAGTCGCGGAAAGATACAATGAGGACCATAATTATAACCGCACTTGCTAAAATGCTAGCTTACTTGTGACAAAGCCTGGAGTTCAACTATAATGTGTATTTTACAGTAAATAGATGTCAAAGAGCTTTAGAGTTGGTCCAGTAAAACAAAATTGAACGGAGAAACCTACATATGTTGGAAAGCTAACCATAATCATAACAGCACCTTTTGTTCATCAGCTTTACTTTTTGGCCTCCTAATTTTATACTAGTACTACAGTGAATCCGCGAATATATTCGAAGCTTGAGGTCTGTCAGTTTTTATTGAATTTATTTTTTGCTCTTTTTTTCGCGCGAAAATGGTGGAAGTTGTAAATGTTGCAAGTATCAACTATTCTTATGGAGATGCACGTTATTGTTTTGCTGATCCCGAACAGCGGAACCTACAAAGATACTAGTCGTAAAATTATGGTTAGTGCTTGGGTAAATGG